TTCATATCCTTTTTGTATCAGCCAAAAGACAGTCATTACATGCACAACCTTCAGAGCAATGGAGAATTAAATTCAGTACAATTTCCTGTTTGTTTTAATGCAACAGTTTTAAATAAAAGACCCCAAACCCTAGTCATCTAAGTAAATAGAGAAAAGCTATTTTTCACTGATATTTTTTTGCAATTTGAATTTAATTTACTTTTCTTGTAAGATGATTTCAGGCTTTTTGGGACAAACTAAACTCTGTATAAGTATAGAAGACCCCAATATTAGTTTATTTACAGCTTAGATGGCTGTTATTTTTACATATATGATGCTGAATAATATTCTTCTTTTGGTATTTGATGCAGAATGTCAGATGCACTAGAACCAAATATATGAACACCAAAAGAATAAGAAAGAAAAAAATGCAGATCTGGCCACACTTGGATGATGCAAAATCTGAGTTAGTTTTTGTCACACCAAAAGTGTGAATGTTTTCAGAACTTGTGAAAAATTATATAAATAAACTAAAAGCTCTCTTTTATACTTGTATAATCAGATTTTCCTCTGCAGGTCACACTCTTACCACAGTAATAACGATGTTGTAAGAGATTAACATTTGAAAAAGAGACATGCATAAGGCATGAACTAGGCTCAATCCTGCTTCTCTTCAAATTCCAGGAATATTTATTTTGTATTGAGCTTTCTTAAAATGAAAAACTTCTTGTGACCACCAAGATAAAATCCCCAGGGCTGTCCAATAACCAGTTGGTTTTTTTTGGTTTTTTTTACCTTAAGATAACTAATTACAAAATTAGTTTCAATTATTCATCTTAAAGAGTGGCAGCTCTTTTTGCAGTCAGTTTTACAGTTGCGGTACTACATTCTTGGGCACATTAAACATGGGAGGGTCTTCCTGGGCCTGGTGCTATGCCTGTGGAATCACTGGAAGAATCTCTTATATATAAAAAAAACCACATAAAATACATTTTTCAGGAAGAGACTTGCTTAGTTATATATTTTATATGTTCTTTGCTTGATATATTGCACAAAGAAAAATCTGCTCTGCCAGAATGCACAAAGTGTGAGCAGAAAACAGACCAGAGTCTTTAACCCCATATGGGCAGAAATTACATGGAATAATTCTGTCCTGAAAGGCACATTTGCAGGTTAAAATGTTTGATGCACATCAGGTGGGACAGAGATGGTAAGTTTTTTTGATGAAGTACCATTTTGCAATCTGCCCTCACTGTTAGTCAGTATCCTATCAGCAACAGTAAAGTCCAGTCTTGTTTTTGCCATGAATATAAAAATCTCATGTGCAACAAAATAATCTGACCTTAACCTCTGGAATGAAAAAATTAAGTTACCTTTTTTTTTTTTTTTTTTAGTTTTACATGTGTTAAAAGCACAAACTGCTGATCTATATGTAAATAAATGCTACAAGATGAAAGTAAAATGGGAAAGAATATACTATTTTTGCATGGTAATAGGTTACTTAAAGACCTCTTGATGCCTTAGAAAGAAATTGAAAAAGCATTTTAATTAGAGGCAATTCTATTGGCATACTTTTTGTATCTTTAGGTCTCTTTGATTTTCACTGGGAAAAAAATCAGAATTAAATAATTTTTTCTTCTTTGAATGTTCTTCAGTATTTTGCACATCTGGTGGTTTCTATACCACTTCTGCACCTGTGAAACGATGAAGCTTTTCAGAGAAGTCTGGATATCTGTAGCCCAGAAGTGAAAAAGTTTTAGATCCCTCAAATTCTTCCAAAGAAAAATGTTTTCTGAGGCATCTGGAGCCCCTTTAAGCCCTTCATTTCAGGTTTTTGTTATGTATTTTAGCAATGTAAAAGCAGCCAACAAATGAGGCATTTTGGTAAGTGTTGCCTATTGTATTTTCAACTGAAAGTGAAGGGAGGTAAAATTTAACATACACATTTGTGTAAAAAAATTCCTAACTTAATAAAATTTTTCAGTTTTGGTATATTAGCATGTATATCAAAAAATCATCTATGGAAATTTTTGTAAAGAACTAAATTCTCACCTTTCTCAAAACTGCTCATAAGATTTTCTTGTGAACTGACATACAATAAAAGCTCTTTTATAAAATCCGTTGTTCCTCCAGCACTTTCTCCTCACCATCGGTATGAAGTCATTCGGAATTCATATGTGTGCCTAAACTAAACGTATTGTAAAAATAAATTATGTAAAATAAAGTAACGACCAAAAGCATATTGAGACATGAGATTCATTTTAGCAATCTCCTATGAAAACAAACTATTGCTAAGTTCTCTGAAGATGCAGAAGTCTTTCTGTAATGGTTTCATTTTTTAAATTTTAAATCAATAATCATATAACCAAATGTATATGCTTGTTAATTATGAATTGACAATTGGGAATGCTTAGTATTTTTTTCAGACTGTGTCTAAACCAATAAAGTTTCAAAGCATTCGGGCTCTATTCCGGTTTTTGTGTGCACTTTTATCTCCCTTTCTCGGGTATCCAGAAACGCCTGGAAGTGCCCAAAGCCAGCTTGGACGAGGCTTGGAACAGCCTGGTGTAGCAGAAGGCGTCCCTGCCCATGGCAGGGGGTTGGAACAGCTCTGTATTTGGGGTCCCTTTAACCCAAATCATTCTATGATTCTGTATGCTCTATTTTTTCAGGTAACGAAGCAACGATATTCTTCCTCTCTTACAAACTGAAGCTGAAACACGGGGCCGGATCAGTACAGGGATTATCACACACAAGATTTATTTACTCAATTTTCATACACGAGTTTTTTCCATGTGAGGGCGGTGGGGCGCTGTCATAGGTTGCCCTGGGAGTGTTCCAGGCAGGGTCGAACGAGTCACGAAGGCACCGGGTCCGGTGCAGGTGTCCCTGCCCACAGCGGGTCCCTCATGAGGGCCGGGCCCTCACGGCGGGGCGCGTGCGGCCGCCCCGCGCATGCGGGCTGGGGACGCGGGGGCGGTGCGGCCTCAGGGGC